GCAGCCATTGTTGGATTAGCAGGACCATAGCCTGTGAGTCATTCTAATGAGTGTCCTTTCTATATATAGCGAGAAATTCATTCTCTAAGTTTTGTTTCTCTAGAGAATTCCGACTAATATACACAGCTTCTCCAATGAAAGCTCAAGGACGTAATTTAAAACTCCATCTGCAGGACTGGGTAGCAGAGTCCTTGGCTAGATGTCTGTGAGGCCCTGGATTCCACTGCCTACTCCAGGTTTTGGAAGGAAGCCCTTTTTAGCTGCAGACCCGTAATAGTCTACAAAGAAAACTGCAAATTCGGACATCCGGATTGTCTCCTGTAAACAGAATGTATGCGTTCTTAAAAAGAACAGAACCAACGGGATGTGATCCATGTGTACACATGTACCATCTTAGTTAGTGTTCTATGGTTGTGAAGAGACACCATGACCAAGGCAACATATAAAGAAAGCATTTCATTGGAGGCTTGCTTACAGCTTCGGGGGATTAGTCCATTATCATTACAGCAGGGAGCAGGGAGGCATGGTGCTGGAGAAGTAGCTAAGAGCTACATCCTAACCAATAGGCAGAGAGTAGAGAGAGACATTGGGCCTGGCTCGGGGGATTAGTCCATTATCATTACAGCAGGGAGCAGGGAGGCATGGTGCTGGAGAAGTAGCTAAGAGCTACATCCTAACCAATAGGCAGAGAGTAGAGAGAGACATTGGGCCTGGCGTGGGCTTTTAAAACCACAAAGCCCACCCCAGTGACATATCTCCTCCAATAAGGCCACACCTCATAATTTTTCCCAAACCATTCCAATAACTGGGGACCAAGCATTCAAACAAATGAACCTATGGGGCCATTCTTGTTCAAGCCCCCACAGACTTGGGGTCATATCATAATGCAAAATGCATTTAGTCCAAGTTCAAGAGTCCCTGTAGTCTTGCAGTCTCAATAAAGTTTTAAAGTCCAAAGTCTCTTCTGAGACTCAAGGCAATCTCTTAACTGGAATCTCCTATAAAATCAAAAAGCAAATTACATACTTCCAACCTTCAGTGGCACAGGATATACATTACCATTACAAAAGGGAAGAAAGAGGGGCATTGTGAGGAAATACTGGACCAAAGCAAGACTGAAACCCAGCTGGGCAAACTCCAAACTCTGCCTCTTCACATCTGATGTCAAAGGCTCTTTGGATCGCCAACTCCTTCCAGTTTCGTTGACAACCTCACACTTCTCTCTCTTGGGCTGGTTCCACTCCCTGTTAGCAGCTCTCCTTGGCAGGTATCCCACAGCTCTGGCATCTCCAACATCTTGGGGTCTCCAATGTAATTCAGACATTGCCTCCACAGCTTCACACAGTCGTCGCTAAGGGTCTCCATACAGAGAGACCCTTGCCCCACACCTGGTCTCTGCGGCTTCCTCTAACCACAGAGGAACATTCCACAGTCCCTTTCCTGTAGATTCCTTGATAAAGCTTTGTGGCCAAAGCTGCTAAATTCTTCTGCTTGCTGGAGCTATAACCTTCCCCTCCCACACCCCCATTTGATTTTCATTTGCCTAAGCTTTCCTCATTATTTTTGCTGGTGATGCTGCTGTTGTTGTTGAAGCCTAGGAAATCCCTTGGGCCTTTTCTTTCACAGGTTGCAGGATTAGCTGGGTGTGTCCTGCACTGAGGTTACCACTCCCTCTATTCCATTTAGAAACAAGCCTTTTTTTTTTAACAACCTGAGCACAGAACTTGGCTCCCACATTACACGTTCTGGTGTTCCCTTTCTTCTCAAACTGTACATTTTGTGTTTCTCATTGTAGATTGCAGAAGAGTGGTCACTAATGACCACATGACACAGTCAATACTAGACAGTCTTGAAATCTCCTCTGCCAAGAGTAGCCATACAAAACTCTTCAACTATGCTCAGGCAGATTTTTAAAACAAGGAGAAAAATCAGTCGCATTCTTTGCCAGAATATCACAAGAATGATCTCTAGGCCACCTGCTAATAGTTCTTCCCCAGAAACTTAAAGAGCTGGGCCTACACAGTTCCACATATCTCCAGCACCACTGTCCTCCACGCTCCTACTAGGATGGCCCATTAAGCCAGGCTTAAAGCATCCAACCACTTTTCTTGTACAAAGTCCCAAAGTCTTCCATATTCCTCCAACAAACAGCATGGTCAGCTTGTCACAGCAATACTCCACTCCTGGTACCAACTGCTGTCTTACTGTTCTATTGCTGTAAGAAGACACCATAACCAAGGCAACTTATACAACAAAGCATTTAGTTGGGAGCCTGCTTATAGCTTCATTACCATCGTGATGTGGAGTGGGATGGCAGGTAGGCAGGCATGATACTAGAGAAGGAGCTGAGAGCTTTATATCCTGATCCACAGGCAGCAGACAGAGAGAAACTAGGCTTGTCATGGACTTCAAACCCCACCCCACTCCATCTCCACTGACACACTTCCTCCAACAAAACCACACCTACTTCAGCAAACCTTCCCAAACAGTTCTACCAACTGGGGACCTAACATTTAAATATATGTGTATATGGGGGTGGGGGAGGAATTCTCATTCAAACCAGATAGATAGATAGATAGATAGATAGATAGATAGATAGATAGATAGATAGATGTAGGTAGGTAGATAGGAGATAGATTAGATAGATAGATAGATAGATAGATAGATAGATAGATAGGCAGAGAGACAGAAAGATAGATGATAGACAGAATAATTTAGTAGGTTAGCTTTAGGTAGAAACAATAGCAGGGTAACTGTTAAGAGCTGAGAACTAGTAGTTACTCAGTCCCTGAGGCTGGTGTCTCAGCAGTAGGAGTCCCACAATTGCTGTCTCTCATTAAAGGGGGACTGGTAGTTTCTCAGTCCACAAGGCTGGGTACCTCAGCAGTCCCAATGCCCAATCTGGTGTTTGAGATCTAGAAGATTCCTGGGGAAACATTGGTCCTTAGTCCACAACGAAAGCCTGGAAACACTGGAAACAATGGGCAAAGCCACTCAGCCACAGGAGGGAGGCCAAGTGAGCAGATGGCAAATGATCTTTCTACCACACCCCTTTTACCTCTGCACTGCTACCTGAAGGTGCCACCCACAATCAGGGTAGGTCTTGTCACATCAATCAGGCCAGGCACTTCTTAGGTGAGGTTCCCTTTGATTCTAATTTATGGCAAGTTGGCATTAAAATTGAACAAGTTACAGAGGAGTCGTCTATATGATATAAAAAACTGTAAAAATTAAACACTAATAAAAAGCCACTAGATAAACTGGCCAATGAACTAAACAAATACTTCTCAAAAGAAGAAACACAAATAACCAATAAATACTCTAAAAAGTTCCCAGTTTCCTTGGCAGTCAGGGAACTGCAAATTAGAAGCGATAACCTTAATAGTATTGTTCTAGCCAAAGCTAGAACTCAATCCCAAAGCCCATCAGACAGTAGGTGAATGAATAGATGCAACACCACTTATCCATGTGGTGGAATATTATTTAGTCATGAAAAATAAAGGAGTGCTGATACACGCTACAACGTAGACAGATCTCTGAATATTGTCATGCTAGGAGAATAAACTCAATTGCCAAAGGTCACTAAGATATGACATGCTCAGAGCAGGGAAGTCTGTAACCAGAGAATGCGGATGATGGTGATACCTAAGGATACCTAGGGATGGTGGCACAGAGCAAAGGGAAAGGATGTCAATGGACACCAGGCTTCTCTGGGAAACTGATGGGGCAGAGGTTGCAGAATCCTGAATAGCACTTCCACGGTCTCTAAATTATATTAGCAACAGCTGTTTGAAAGCAATAAGAATGCCCCTCAGGGCATTGTCATTCCAGCACTATAGAGGCCAAGACATAAAGGTGGCGAGTTTGTGTAGCCTGAGTTACAAAGAATTGATATCTTCCATAAACCAGCTCATCATATACTGACGCAAGCAAGAGCTCCTTACTAACCCTGCACAGAAGGCACCCTGCACCAACCCCAGTGCTGGCAACCACTGTGCCCATCATGGTGGGTGCTGCTCTGGGCCAGAGAACCTCTTCTAACACTTGGTCACCTCGAAAGTCATAAAATGAAGCTATTAGTACACAGATGGTTTTATTGAATGTTAACTTTATTAAATTTCAGAGATACTTATAAGTTAACTTTCATATAAACAGGAAACACAAAATCTTCACAGTACATGGACCATGTGTTAAAGGAGGTGTGGGGTCTCACACCAAGCACCTCTCAGATGCACAGTCTGCTTCTGAGGTCTGGGTCTCCTTCGCAGATCCCACATGCAAACAGGGGCATCACAGTATTCCTGAAGGGAGCTTTCCTTACAGTAGGCTCCTCCCTCTTTGCTGTGAGTATGAGAGGGATGAACACTACAATGGACACTCAAGATCAGCCCTCCAGACAAAGAAGCTCCCTGGAGCTAAAATCAGGCCTCGGTTAAATCTCCCAAGCATAGCACAGGACTTGCTCAAAACAGAAAAGACACTGGGTGCATGGGTGGAAGAATGGATGGATGGATGGATGGATGGATGGATGGATGGATGGATGGATGGATGGGCAAATGGATGGATGGGTGGGTGGGTGGGTGGGTGGGTAGATGGGTGGGTGGATAGATGGATGGAAAGTTGGATGGAAGTAAGGGAAGACAGACTGATAGAGGATACAGAAGTGACTCAGGGACTATAGGGAGATATATATTAGATAGATAGATAGATAGATAGATAGATAGATAGATAGATATAAAAAGATAAATGGATAAATGAAGGGGAAGAGATGAAGAGAAGAGGTGAAGGAAGAAGAAGAGAGAGGAAAGGAGAGTTGTATGTATGTATGTATTCATGTATGTAGAGATGAGCAGAGAGCCAGGCTATTGTAGGGACTGCTTCTTTGCTCCCGGCTGCTCAGCCCCGAAATAATCACACAAAAGCTGTATTAATTAAATCATTGCTTGGCCAATCACTTAAGTGTATTGCTAGCTAGCTCTTACATCTAGAATTAACCCATTTCCATTATTTTATATTTTACTATGAGGCTTGTAGCCTACCGGCAAGGTTCCAACTGGCAGCTCATATGTTTCCCCTCTGGTGGCTCCATGGTGTCTCCCTGACTCCGTCTACTCTCTCTATATAGAGCTCTTCCAGCCTGTCTATATTCTATTAAGCCACTGGCCAAAAGCAGCTTCTTTATTCATTCACCAATAAAAGCAACACATGTACAGAAGGACCTCCCACATCACTGGGTGCTTTGATGAATAAAATACATAAGTAACTGAGGTTCCACGGCATGAGTCTTTTGACCATTCAGGAAACATAAAGTACCAGACCAGCCTTCTCTACGAGGAACCCTACCCCATGTCCAGACAGTGGAACGCAATAGGCTGAACCCACTGGGCCCACAGTGGGCACCACCTGACCCTGGCATAGTGGACACCCCTGGTGTTTGCCCTCAAGGAGCTCTGAAGTGACTGGCAAGTCCCCAGAGAAGGAACTCGTCTGCCTGAAAACCTCTGGAGCTGCATTCTGAGGTCCCAACAGGGCTGAAGGCTTATCATGGGTCGAGACCATGGCCCGTCTCTGAGTTCATTTCCACTAAGAGATCCCTTTACACGGCCCCATGCATACCATATTCCTAGGGAATGGAAGCCATTTTACTTTACAGAGCATATTCGGCCTACCCCAGCACTGCTCCAGACTCCCTCAGCCCAGAGCCTAAAAGGTGAGCAGAGATAGGCAGGACCCATAGACACTGTCTCCAGCACCAGAGACTATTCAGGGCCACTTCAAACCCTCAGGCTCAGATCCTGATGAAGCCAGATGAGCCTCTGAGGAGTTAGGAGCTTGCCGCGCACGCTTCTGCCACAGATCACCAGCCAGCCCAGCGACTGCAACTGTCCTCTTGGCTCCCTTGCCCTCCGTCTCATCCCAGGAGGGTCTCAGGGGCATCTCAGCTTCCTCCTCTCTTTTGACACATTCTTGGTCACTCTGTGTCTCCCGTTCTTCAGCGATCCACGCCTGAAATCAGACAGTAAGCCAAAGGCGTTCACCTCAAACATTCTGATGAGGTCATCCTGGACAATACTAGACAAGAAGGGTCTAGGCTGACCTGACTGGGTTGGTCCCTATACTTCCTGCTGAGATTAAAGGCGATAAGCCGTGTTCGAACATACCAGCTAGCCACAGGGAAATGACATTTTGTCATGGGTGCACATATTAACTGGATAAAGCCAAAGGACATCCCAGCCAAGACTCGAGTAGGTCAGAGCAGAGCAAGGAAGCCGTGCAGTCGGCCCCAGCATTTGAGGGATGAACGGATTCAATTAAACACAAGTCAGACTACTCCAAAGCAGCTCAGGCCACACTGGGCATGCCCAACTTCTCACATCATTACCCTCCACAGTACTGAACATCGATTTATGTGATATTTATACTGCACTGGGTGCCCAGGTCATTGAGAGCTGATGCCACGTGCATGGGAGGATGAGTCAAACAAGGACACCATTTTACAGGGGGGACTTGAGCATCCAACTTAGGGCATCCAAGGAGGGTCTTGAAACCGGCTTCCACATGGGATAAAACCGGACTCACTGAACATAGTGGACAATGAGGACTGCTGAGAAGTCAAGAACAATGGCACTGGGTTTTGATCCTACTGCATGTACTAGCTGTGTGGGAGCCTAGGCTGTTTGGATGCTCACCTTACTAGACCTGGATGGAGGTGGGTGGTCCTTGGACTTCCCACAGGGCAGGGAACCCTGACTGCTCTTCCGGCTGATGAGAGAGGGGGAGTTGGTTGGGGGAGGGGGAGGGAAATGGGAGGCGGTGACGGGGAGGAGACAGAAATCTTTAATAAATAAGTAAATAAATAATAATAACAAAAAAATAAAATAAAGAAAAGCAAACGAACAAAAAGAAAGAAAGAAAGAAAGAAAGAAAGAAAGAAAGAAACCGGCTTCCATAGACACCATGACACAACTCTACAATGAAAGGGGGCCGGGAGTGTCTGTGCTGTTTGTTTGCTCGTTTGCTTGCTTGCTTGGGATGGAGTCTCAGTGTCCAGGCTGTCCTTGAACTCTCCATGAAGCTAAGAATGACTGATCTTCCTGTCTCTACTTCCTTAGGGTTGGACTTCCAGGTGTGAACAACCATACCCAGTTTCTACAGAGCTTCAAAAATGCTAGGCACACCTCCCAGGCCTTGCTTAACCGGGGTTATTCCGTGTGAATGAAGCAGTTTGCACAGATTATTAAATGGAAATCCTGGTGCTAGCGATAGGCTGCTCCGTATGGGATACTCTGTATGAGTTACAGGACAGGGAGGACCCAGAGGTTCCAGAACAGAGTTATAGGACAGGAAGAAAGCAGGGGTTCCAGAACAATATAGGCTACTGTACCATGACTACATCAGAACTACAGGACAAGATCTACTGCTGAAAATACCATGTGTTCTGGCCAAAGGATAACAGGATATCAAGCTGGAACTAGAAGCCTGCTCCCTGCTGGGCAGCCCAGATGATGTCAAGAGGTGTGACCAGGATGCTGTGGAGAGCTGTCCTCAGCGGTCATTCTCAGCTGGGGACTCAGCGTGCTACACCGCTGATGGACCAGGCCGGATGGGTCCACTGATAAAATAGTGTAATGGCATTTCGTTTGTATTTTTAATAAATAAAGCTTGCCTGGGGATCAGAAAAGCAAAACAGCCACACGGGCCAACCTTACAGACCAGGCAGCAATGACACACACCTTTAATCCCAGTAGCCACACTAGCTTGCCACAGAAACCAAGTGCTAGTGGTGCACACCCTTAATTCCAGAACTAGAGAGGAATATAAGATGGGGGGAGACATCTCTCAGTCTCATTCTGAGATTCCTGGAGGCAGGATTGCCATTTTCAGACTGAGGTGGGGGTAAGAGCCAGTGGTTGGCTGTTTTGCTTTTCTGACCTTCAGGTTGAACTCCAATTTCTGTCTCTGAGTTTTTATGAAACATGCTAAATAACAATGCCAAGTCTGCTATGGCCAGTTGCTTTGGGACTGGATGTGAGGCCTGACCTACAGGAGCAAATTCACATCTTGCTCTGTAAAAAGGGGAAGCCACTGAGGCTGCTTTACTGAATGGGCATGATTGCCTGTTACAATAACCATGGGGTGCTGTTGCTGTTAGTCTTGGTCAAAAAAATCTTCACCTTGAAAGTGGCCGGTGCTGACTATGGAGACACACAAATAGTCAATGTCAATGTACTGAGAGTGAGTGACAGACATGTGCTCCACCTCCAATGTGACATCCTACCACCCCTCCAAGGCTCAGGAACATCGCGGGAAAGAGGGCAGAAAGAAGGCACCAGCCGGTGGGAGGAGAGATAGATTGCAGTGGGATGATGTCTTCCAGGCAAGGCATGGCCACTGCACTCTTGAATTCAGCAGCTCTGAGCACCTGCCCAGAGCCTATGGAAGACCAGGCCTCGCAGCATCCCATGATAGCAGCAAAATAAGCTTGTGAGGCCCGGTCCCTCCCTGAGGTTCTATAGGCAGCTACTGGTTGAAGGAAGTGGTGTAGCCGATAGGTAAAAGTAGGACCAGTCAGGGAAAGGAAGAGGGCCAGTGGGAGGGGAGAGGGAAGACAATGGCTATTATCAAAATATATATTGGGAGATATTATATAAAACTCTTTGAGTATAATTCATATATACCAATGTAATTTTTTCTCTTTCTTTCTTTCTTTCTTTCTTTCTGTCTCTCTCTTTCTTTCTTTTTTATGTTTTCCAGACAAGGTTTCTCTGTGTATCCCTGGCTGTCCTGGAACTCAGAGACCCACCTACATCTGCCTCCTGAGTACTGGATTAAAGGCATGTGTCAACATCACCCAGGGCCAGTATATTTTTTAAGTTGGCATTCTGCCTTTGAGTGTGCAGGCATTCCCAGACATACATGCATACATTCAAATGCTCCAGAACTCCTGCTGGTTCTTTTAAAAAGAAGTTTTAAAACTCAGTGACCAGAAGAAGCCAACTACTATATTCTCTTCTTGGAGCCCTGGCAGAGCCCTAGGTTAGCCCAGCAACTGCCAGCAGCTGAAGGAAACAAGAGCCCCTTTCTGCCGGGCAACAAGCACCAATGCTTGCCCATGTACAGCTTTCAAGGATGATTCAAGATTTATCGGAACATCTTATGCCTCTGCAGAATCTTCTATTGCCAAATAATCGGCATAACAAAATGAGCATCGTGGCGTCTCATATACAAGAGTTAGGTTTGAGAGCAGACTCTTAAGGATTTAATAGCATGATCTGGTGCACAGAGGGGCTGGCTTCAGGGCAATCTCCAATTTTTATCAAATATGGGACACCAAGATACTAAGAAGAACTCTGTAACCTTCCTTCCCCCAAGACTGGAGGATGCAAAGACCTAACACCATCTTCCTCTTTCTAGCAGCCACACTGGGGAGGCAGGAGGGATAAGCAAGGTAGATTCGCCTTGCTTTTATTCTGGTGTGTAGCCAAATTCCAGATTCAGTTTTGTTTTGTTTTTTTTTTTCACTAATTCTCTAACGATATTGGGGGTCAGGTTCCTAGTTTTCGTCTGACTTCATTCATGTTTGTCTAGCTGAGAGCCTGGATCACAAAGAGTCTAACTATAAAGACTTCTTACCCCATTCCCTTTATCCCAAGACAGGGAAATTTCTGGCATTTAGTCAGCATCAGCATGGCCCACTGCCAAAGAGGAGCACATAGCCCAGGTGTCCAAGGAGCTGCCCGGCAGTCACTACAAAGACCAAGGTGGTCGCTGGGAAGACAGACAGGCTGTGGAATGACGCATTGATACTGTCTGTACCTTATGGCTTTCTCCGTGATCAAATTGTGTGCATCCATCACTCTGAGAAGTCTGCCTCGGGCTGTTTGTGTCCTCTTCAGAGCATTTAGGATGCACTGTGGTCCCTAAACAAGAGAAGAGGATACGCATCGGGGCTAGCGCCAACGCTCGGGACCCCTCCTAATACACTGCTCCCCACTCCATCTTCCTGATCCCCACTTTGACTTCAGCACTCCCCTGTGGACAGCTGCAAAGTGTCAAGGGCTACAAAGTGTCAGATGGCTCGGGGCTGGGAATGGAACTCCGCCTAGGACAGTGCTCAGCATGCCCAATGCTCTCTGGCTTCAACCCCTAGCATCATATAAACCATGTGTGGTGGTACACCCCTGGAATCCCAGTATTCAAGAGGAGGAGGCAGAAGGACCAGAAGTTCCAGGTCCTCGCCAGCAGCATAGCAAGTTTGAGACCAACCTGAGCTACATGAGTCTGTCTCAAAAAAAGAATCAAAATGGTGGATCTACTCAAGCGCTTTCCAGTGCAAGAGGGAGAGAATATCTGCTGTTCCGAGCATTTTCCAAGGTCCTCACTGCTCACGGCTGTCTTTACTCACAGTTAACTAAATGCTCCGCCCTCACTCGCTGCTAAGTCAGAACTACTTTGGAAAGGGTGACCTCCCTGTCCCATACACAGACCCACACCCTGAAATCAGTGTGGGTCTTGGGAGTCCTCTGTGGGGGAAAATAAATGCAGTTCTTATATTTGAGCTGAAGGTACGCGTGTGTTGCCTTTTGACTACACAATAAACAGGTCACGCGGTCGTTACCTATGTAAGTATATTTGTAAATGCTTAGATAACTGCAGAAATTAGCAAAATTTGGTTTGGCGACAATTTAACTCTAAGCATCTGAAGACCCTTCAGTACACTTCATCTTTCTCTAGTCTAGCTTCTGTGCTATACAGGAGTAACTGCCCATGGGACTTCATAGTTTATAAGTGAGGGCAGAACCTTCATCAGCCTTGTCCGCTGACTCTCTAGTGCCTGAGAAAGTGCCTGCCTGGACCGTGAACTGTTGTCAAATGAAAGAAGCACAAAACAATGGCTGGGTGGATGGAGCAGATGAACACATCCTCAGACTTCCATCATTCCTGATATTCTTTTTTTTAATTTATTTATTATGTATACAATATTCTTTCTGCATGTATGCCTGCAGGCCAGAAGGGGGCACCGGACCTCATTACAGATGGTTGTGAGCCACCATGTGGTTGCCGGGAATTGAACTCAGGACCTTTGGAAGAGCAGGCAATGCTCTTAACCACTGAGCCATCTCTCCAGCCCCCTTCCTGATATTCTTACGTGCTATGAGATAACTCATGCTAGCGAGATCAAATGCTTACTCGTATCTTATTCCTAACCAATGAATGTCCCATAGGTTTTTAGTTTTCATTTTTACATCCCAGCCACAGTTTCCCCTCCCTCCTCTCCTCCCAGTCCCCTCTTTGTACCCTGCCCCCTTCACTCCTTTTCCTGTTTCTCTTCAGAAAAGGGCAGACCTCCTATAGATATTGGCCAGCCGTGGTATGTCCAGTTGCAGTGAGACCAGGCACCACTTCTCCTATTAAGCCTGGATGAGGCAACCAGGTAAGAGAAAAGGGTCCCAAAAGCAGGTAACAGAGTCAAAGACTGCCCCTACTCTCACTATTAGGAGTCCCACAAGAAAGACAAGCTACACATCTGTAACATATATGCAGAGTGTTTAGATCAGTCTCATGCAGGCTGCCTGGTGTTTGGTTCAGTTTCAGTGAGCCCCTATGAGTCCGGGTTAGTTGATTCTGTGGGTTTTCTTGTGGTGTCCCTGATACCACTGGGTACCCTCCCACCCCTGCTTCCACAGAATTTCCCCAAGCTCTGTCTAATATTTGTCTATGCGTCTCTGCATCTGTTTCTATCAGTTGCTGGCTAAAGCCTCTCCGATGATAGTTGGGCTAGCACTACTCTATGAGTGTAGCAGATTTTTTTTTTCCAGTCCTGTTATTTGGTTCTATCCTAGGTCTCTGAGTTATCCCGCCTCTGGGTCCTGGCCCTCCAAACCGTGTCAGGGATAAGCTCTCTTTCATGATATGGGTCTCAAGCATAGTTTTCTTTTAACACACTAGTTGGAAAGGTACGAATCTGGGGAGCCAGACGTTCAGGTACATCCATGATGAGCGCCTGCAGCAGTTCAGGCCTGCAATGTGGAACAACGGCCACTAGAGGGAGCCATAAAACCTGCCACAGAGCAAGGTTCAAGAAAAACTGTCTCTGCAGGTTGACTCTCCACACTCCCGGGCACGCTGATCACCAGAAAATTGTTGTTGCTACTGCATAGTGTGCTGTGTAGCTAATGAGAACAAGCTGAAACAAGCCTAGGGCTCCAGTTTGCTGGCCCTCGCTCTTAGAAAACAAACCTACTTTCCCTCTCAAACAATTCACAGCTCTCTATATAACATATCTAGGGTTTTGTTTTAGGTAAGCGTAAGTGAAAGAAAATCATATTTCCTGTGGATGACAAGGGAATCCATGATAAATTAATCTGGGAAAAGAAAATTGTGAACTTTTAGAAAGAAAAATAATTTTTGGAGCCATATGCAATATTTCCCACCTCCGGTAACTTCTTTTTTTTTTTCCAAAAGAGCATTTCCTTGTTGACATATTCAGTTTCATCCCCTGCAGTAAAGAGACTCCAGGCATGTGCAGACTGACTGGGAGATCACATCAGAAGGAATTATGATCCTATCGGTCAAGTTTCAAAGGTTTCCCATGTAACTGAGAACAGGGAAAAACTGCATTTCCCACAAACTTCTTCTCTCAAAGGGTCTGGGAAAAAAAAATCTAAAAATTCCCAGGGTCATTACAAGTCACAGATGTTATCAACAGCCAGGGTCGTGCAAAATTTAAAAAGACCCACAAATGAAGGTGCTTCACACACAGATCCGCCAGCATTTGCATGGGATCCAATGACTCTCCCTTTGCAAGGTGCCTGTTCAGAACTTCTCCAAAGTCAGAAGCCACCGAATCCTGGGGACGTCTGCTCGCAGGCCCATTCCCACCATGTGCAAAAAGGCAGGGGCCCTTTAAATCTGTGGTTCTCAACCTGCGGTCAAGACCCCTTTGGGCCGGGCGGTGGTGGCGCACGCCTGTAATCCCTGTAATCCCAGCACTCGGGAGGCAGAGGCAGGCGGATCTCTGTGAGTTCGAGACCAGCCTGGTCTACAGAGCTAGTTCCAGGGCAGGCTCCAAAACCACAGAGAAACCTTGTCTCGAAAAAAAAAAAAAAAAAAGACCCCTTTGGGGTCACATAGCAGATATCCTGAATATCAGATATTTACATTACAATTCATAACAGTGGAAGAATTGCAGCCATGCGGTAGCAATGATCTAATTTTATGGCTGGGGGTCGCCACAACATGAGGAACTGGATTAAGGGGTCATAGTGTTAGAACGGTTGAAAGCCACTGGTCAAAAATAACAGCCTGGGAACCCAGAGGAGGACACTGAAAACAAATCAGGGTTTAAAGAATGAAAAGACCCTTAATTTTTTTTCCTCAGAAAAAAAAAAATACAGAATTTGAGTAACCTAATTATAGCCTAATTATAACAACAAGTCTTGTTGCTGCAAAGGACTTCTGGAACATTCTCTGTGAAGGTCCTCTCATTGGCTGTTTGTTAAGTGGGACCTGGTGACTCTCAGAGTGGATTAAAGTGACAGGTTTGGCATCTGATTTCCAGACCAGCTTCCTCCGACCAGACCACACAGACTCCTTCCTCACTCTTGAAATAAATCCCCAGTGGAATTCTTCATCAGGAAGCCATCTCCCCAACTAAGCCAAAGCTTCCTCCTCCTCGCCCAGCCCCTCTGGCCACATTCCGATGCGCATCTGCGGTTTCCACTCTCAGCCAAGGAACAGCAGCGAAACTGGACCCTCATTTGTGAAGCTAAAAACCCTGTGCGGGAGGGATGGCCAGCCCCATGCCCAGAGGCGCAGGCTGGCTTCCCTTCCCTCCCAACACAATGCCACAGGGCAAGTCGCTTAACTGGCTCATTAGGGTCACAGTCACAGGCCTGCCAGCCTCCTTCCCTGGCACTCCTTCACCTCATTAATATCTGTAAGGACCCATTAAGCCTTGCAGCTGAGGGGAGCCATTAAGACAAGACCTATCACTATTCCCATCAATAAGGTCCCAGGCTCTCGCCTGTCAGCAGCTGAGTTGAGGCAGTCGCCCAGGTAGAAAGGCAGCCTACACCTCCGGCCTGTCGGCCCCTAATGAGATACCCGCTTCTGCAGAAACATCCCCATGAATGTGACGGGTGCCCACGTCACAGAAAGGGGGAAAGGCACTGCTTTAACTTAGAGCGGTGCATTTAAACTGCTGGAAGCATATCTCCCAGGTACAAGCAGCACCTGTGGCTGGAATGTCCCAGCACCTAAGCCCCCCACCCTGACCCTTCCATGGATCCTGTAATATGAAATCTTCCCTTCCCTGTGGAAGTCAGAAAGCCACCTGTAAATCCTGGGGCAAGCATGTTCACATGCTGCTCTGGCCATCTGAGTGTCCTGCCTCCCTTGGGGAAGCTGCCATCAATCCCCTACCTTGCTCCCCAGAAGATTCCTCTATCTGAACCTCACTGACAAGCAAGGGCACTGTCTGGAACCCACGGGAACTTAGGACAGCGGGGTCAACAGGAGATAAACAGTAAGTCCGTAGGGCATCATAGCAAGCTGCCTTTAAAAAGGATAAAGATGCCTTACAAACTCACAGCAACTGAACTGTACCAGATCAAGGTAGCCAAAACCAGCACAGATGAAGGAGGAGCTGACCAGGCCCCAGCTGTAGCCGAGAAGCCGCTGGAGGTTAGTTGGCTGGGGAAGGACAGCTATCTTTGTGGCCACTTGTAGATACCCATGCCCTAGCGGTCCACCCCACACCCAATGACATACAGGAAGCACTGACTGGATGCAGTGAAATATAAAAATTTTTAAATGATTTTAAAAAGAGAATGTGAAGTTAGGAAGGATGGATTTCATCATAAGGCATTGTGTACGTGGATGAAATCCACACAAAAAAGTAAATAATAATAATAATAATGAGCTGATATGGGACTAACATGAGATGGCTCAGTCAGCAAAGTGTGCGCTGTGTAGGCATGGGGATCTGAGTTCGAATCCTCAGCACCCATGTAAAAGTCAGGCATGACTTACTCTGTAAGTCCAGCACAAGGACAGGACGGGGAGAATGTCCCTGCAGCTCACTGGCCAGTCGGTCTAGCTGCGAGTACCAGGCTCACCGAGAGACCTTGTCTCAAACTTTAAAATGGATGATGACAGAGGAAGGCACCCCAATATTAACCCCTGGCCTCCGTGTGTATATGCACACACCTTACAAACATGTACCACACATGCATGTGCACAGAGTGATTTACACAGCACTAGGCAGCACCACGGACACGGCCTGCACACAGGGATGGATCAGGCTATCACATCAAACCCTCGTCATCGTTGGAATTCTCAGCCCTGTGCACGTTACTCCCTCAAAATAACACAGAGGAACAGAAGACAATCTCTGTAGATGTTCATGGTCTAGCGGTTTTCATGGTGATTTTCCTAACAGTTGATCCATGCAGTGGTCTATCTGTTTAGATGGAAGCCTTTCTGGCATCCATATATACCCAAAAAGAATGTTTGGGATCTCTAGTTTGGGGCCCCATTCCACACTCAGGTCTCACTCCTCCCATTCCAAACCCCACCCTCAGTGTACCAAGAGGGGGCCCCTCCCCAAGAGCTGCTCTCTTCAAACTCCGCCCCTGAGAAAGTCTGCCAAAACTCAACTCCTCCTTGGAGCTGCTCAAGACCACACCTATAGGCTACTTAAGACTTGGTAGCCATCTTTGCCACGTGATTCCTCTTCTGCCCTCCTGAGGGTCACCCAGAGTTGCTTTGTTCTGTTCATTAAACCTGGATTTAATAATTTCGTTTGATTAGCTTAATACATCAGTGGCAGCAGATTTCCATTAACGGGGATTCAAAACCTTATCACTACCTAGTAGTTGGTTTTTGTAGATGCTTATCTAGTAGCGGTCTTCGTAGTGGTCTATCTAGTAGTTGGTCTTTGTAGGGGTCTATCTAGTCTAATTGGAAAAGTAGGGGCCATGAAAGAGCTTCCAGTTCCAGAGCTGAGGAAGATCTTTTGGAGTCGTGCAGATGAGAAGGTCATGGGTGAGAAACACAGAACAGATGCCCAGCTGGGTCTCCATCCCTCCTTTGTTCGGCTACATACTCAAGACAGCAACATCTGCATGAATCAGACTCAGTCCGTGGAAGAGAAGCTGTCCCCATGTGCGGCAGCTACGGGTGCTAAAGCAGATGTCCATCCCACTCACCATCTTGAGGTCGCGGCTCCCGAAGACAAACCTTGAGCCAGGCGTTGGTGCGCTGGCCCCAGGCCCCTGGGGGCTCCACCTCCCACAAGCGCCCTCTCTCGCCTGGATGGATCGACAGGAACCGCCTGAGGACTGGGAGGAAGAGAGGCAAGGCGTGAGCCTGACTGTGGCCCACCCTGCTTCAGCCAATCAGCTCTCTCTGGACCCTCGCATCCAGCCCTTCCAGCCCTTCGGCAGCTACCCTACACCTCACTGTCCTGACCCTGCTGCACCTAAACCCTTCCACCAACTTTCCATGGGTACAGAATCATCCTGTTCATCTCCCACCCCCACTTGCAAACATCATGCACTGCGCTCCAGGGTGGCAACTATGAAATAGCCATCCCTGGGTATCCTCTGAAGGCACCAAATCCAAGGATGCTGTATTTACATAAACCGTCAGGTGTGGTGCTTGCATGGGCAATAACACATCTTCCGTGCACGCTTCATCATCAGGATGTCTTTTGGTAGCTGATGCTGTGGAGACGCCACATCGAGAGCCACCAGACTGTGGTGCTTAGGGGATGAGGTCAATGGGCAGATCCGTGCTTGTCCAGTACAAACGCCACTTTTTAATGCTTTCAAGCCATAGTCGGTTTCAATTCTGGAATCAGACCCCTCAGATATGATGGGCTGCCAGTACCATGGCAACACAAGCTGATTTCTCAAGGCTCTGGAGGCAGGGTACCTGGGGTTGGGTTGTTCCGAGCCCTCTCCCCGACCTTCCTGTGTGTCTTCTCAGTGTCCTCACATGGTCATGTCTGTGTATATCCCTAGGGCCTCCTTCTTATACCGGTGCCTGAGATGCCTATGCTTGGCTATCAACTGACTACATCTGGAATTAACTAAAATGCAAATGGGTGGACACACCTGTGAGGGATTTTTTTTCCTAATTAAATCATTTGAAACGGGAAAACCCCCTTCTAATCCAGATCTCTGTGGTGAGACAATAGACCCACCTTGACTCTGGGCCAGGCCTTCTGCTGGCAGCCTATATAACGGACATGGAAGAAGGAAGCTTGCCCTCTCGACCTGCCTGCTCTCACTGGCAAGATCACTCCTCCATCAGCATTACAGCATACTTCTTCAGGATTCCAGCACATACGGAAAACCAGCCGAGACAGCTGAGCCTCATGTGTTGTGGGATTTCTACTGAGTGTGTATTGCATTCACACTCATATAAAATGAAAAAAATCCTAAGCAGCACCATGGTGAGTCAGGGACCAACAGCATTTTCAAATGTAATCGCTTCTCAAGCTCAGAGAAGTCCCCTTTGCAATCCAACAGGGACCCTGGTTCTGCTGAAGCTGAAAGAGCAGTCAGTAGTCACAGCGCATCTCCCCAGAAGCTCCTAGACTCCTCCCCTTCCGTCACCACAGGGCGCGTGTGTTAGCTGTTAGCTGGCACCCAAAGGCTCACCCAGGACCCGGGGTGGGGCTTACCTTTGTACATTGCAGGAGAAATTGGGCAACTGATACCCAGGGCTTCATCTTCTCGAAAGGTGTCACAGAAGTCCCTCAGCATGGCTGTCCCCAGGCCTTGGCTGCGGTTCTTCCTCCGCACAAACACGGTGTCAAGGACAGGCAGCAGGTAGCATGCACTGGTGCCGTCACCACAGAGGCTGCCTGCAGGAAAGCAAGAGATATGTGCTGTGCATCCCCCCCCCCCCGGTTGCATGCTGACTCCGCTATATCTCAGGGGTCCAGCCAGGGACACTGGTACTACCTAGGAGCAGAATTAACTTCACAAACAATAATAAGAAACCAGGTCACTCCAGAACACCAGTTCTCTGATGGACCCATGTGTTTTCCTCAAAGGCCCACCTAATTATTTGCAAGCACAGAAAAGAAAATAGAGCCTGGGAGACCAAGCATCGCCAAAGCCTTGTAGACCCCACCAGACCGCTCCCCTCACCGAGGCCCTTGGAACCAAGACAGTTTACTGAAGCAACATCCAAGTTCTCCCCTCATGGTGAGGCCAGTCCACAGTGCAGGCAGAAGCCAACTGGATCCGTCACTAAGTAAGGGCTTGTGTCAGTGACTTCAATAAAGGGTTATGGTGACCAGCTCTGGTGAAATGCATGCCCTCCAAACACATAAGCCCCACGCATGAACCGCTGCCGCTGCTGCTGGAGAGGCCAGATGTTGTGCCCTCTCCATTTCCACCTTGAACATCTGTCCTGTAACCAACGTCAACATTCACATGGCTGTCATCCCCGATCCTATTGAGAGAGGTGAACCCTGTTCCTGTCAAGATTCAGAAAACGAATCCTGAAAAGGGAAGATTCAAATTTAATTAGATGGACTAAATTACAAGATATGCAATACAGTGAAAAATTGTGTGTGTGATAGCAGGTGAGCAGAGGTCAAAGGACAATTTGCAGAAGTCCATTTTTTGCCTTCTACCATGTGAGTTATGGAGCTAGAACTCGGGTTGCCAGGCTTGGCAGGCAGCAAGCGCTTTCACCCCATGAGCCATCTTACCAGGCCCAGAAATCAATGCTTCTATGTTAATCAACACAGCGCTAAGACAATTCTTTGGGGGAGGGAATACTTTTGGCCTCACATAGCACTGGAATGATTTGACGCACGAGGTGTGCTACGAGCAAGCAGCACATTATTAGCGGAAGAAGATGCTCCCATGAACAGGTCAACTCTGATTACAGGTCCCTGGCATGCTGAAAAAGCCGATCTGCAGAGGTGATGGAAAGATGCTGGCTGCTGGATGGAGGTAGATGAGCTGATGGAGCATGGGAGACTCAGGACAGACCGCCCTATATAACACAGAGCATCAGATGCTGGTCTAGATACACAGAGCATCAACACTAAGGATGAAGCCCACAGGTACACCAAGGCCATTGACTAACAATAATGTCATCTCCAGGCTGACCTCTGTCTCCCTAGCATTCACGTGCTTAAGTCCAAACCCTTCAGAACATGTCTGTATTTAGATAGGATGCTATCAAAACATAGAATGGGATTAATCTGAGGCTATTAGGCTTCACCTTCATCCAATATGGTTGCTGTCCATATAAGAAGAAATATGGACCAAGAGAAATACAGCAGAGATACACAGTGAGGAGGAGGCTACATGCTAACCAAGGAGAGGCCTCCAGAGAGAACAGGCCTGCTCACACCTAGACCAGGACGTTGCACCTCCAGAACTAGATGAAAACAAATTCCTGTTGCTTGTATCTGAGGGTTGTGTCCTTTGCGATGGCCCACACAAACTAAGGAATGCATCTGTGTTGATTCATGGACCACATAGATGCAATGTACTAATCATACCATGCTGGTTCCCTTCTGTCAACTTGACACAAACTAGAGTCAGCTGGGAAGAGGATCTCTCGGTTGAGGAACTGCCTGAATTAGGCTGACCTGTGAGCATGTCCACTGGGACATTTTTGTGTTAATGATTGCTGTGGGAGGACCTAGCCCGCTATGGGTGGTGCTCCACCTATGGAGGAGATCTGAGTACCATAAGAGAGCAGGCTGAGCAGGCCATGGGAGGCAAGCCAGTAAGCAGCACCCCGCCATGGCTTTGCCCCAGTTCCTGCCTTGAGTTCCCTAATTTACCTGGAAGTATAACAGGAAATAAACCCTTTCTTCCCTAAGTCACTCTTGATCATGGGATTTACCACAGAGAGGGAAGAAAGACTAGAACACAGAGGAAATGGGAAAATTACGCCAGGAAAACTGCACCTTTGCCTCAATATTTTTCTGTAAATCTAAACCTGCTCTAAAATATAGCTTCTCTCTTTTAAGGTACTAGAGGCTGAAGACAATCAGTGTGCTAAGCCCTGTGTTGAGTCCTCCGAAAAGGAGGGTTACTTTTAAAGTATGTTAGCTGTTTTTTTCTGTTTGTTTTTAATTCGAGTTAGACTCTTTTGTTGTGGAATATTAGTTCAAGATGTGTTACATTCGTTTATGCTGTGGAATATCTACTAATGCAAAGATGTGTAGCATTCTTTTCTGTTGCATTTGTGTAACTCTGTGATGCTGCCTTACTTTGCCTGCCTAAAACACCTGATTGGTCTAACAAAGAGCTGAATGGTCAATAGCTAGGCAGGAGGAAGAAGAGCCGGGGCTGGCAGGCAGAGAGAATAAATAGGAGGAGAAATCTGGGCTAGAGAGGGAGCAGAACAGAAAGAACTAGAAGCAAGAAAAGGAGAACGTGAGGAAGATGCCAGGGGCCAGCCACCCAGCTATATAACCAGCAATGGAATAAGAAGGGAAGAAAGACATAGAATAAAAAAAAAAAAAAGGTTAAAAAAAAAGCTCAAAGTCAAAACATAGTTAAAGAGAAACAGGATAATTTAAGTTTTAAAAAAAAGCTGGCTAAAAACAAGCCAAGCTGAGGCTGGGCATGCATAAGTAAGAATAAATCTCCATGTATTTGTTTGGGAGCTGCGTGGCTGGGCCCCCCAAAGAGTTAAAAAAAAAAACTACACTCTTGTTTCATATCATTTAGAAAAACAAACTAAAAAAAAATAACAGATAAAAGGATAAGAGATAAGCTAATAAAGCTCTTAGCACAGAAAATAGAAAAATGTCTTAACAACTTTGAGTTAATGAGGAGCTCGTAGATTCAGCAACAAAGGCAAAGCTGGCTGGCAACTTGGACTTCATCAGAATTTTTAGACTTTTTTCTTCAAAAGACTTTATTAAGGAAAACCAAAGGCCAAGCCATCGACTGTCAACAGAAATGTTTACAAATCACACTTCCCATAAGAAGGCTTACTGAGAACCAGAATAAAGAGCTCTCACAATCCAATAAAAATGAATCAAATATCCTCATTAAAATTGTGCAGAGGGCTTGAACAAACCTTTCTTTAAAGAAGACATTCACATGACTACTGATGAAAACCAGCTAACACAATTAGGGAAATGGAAGTTAAAAACCACAGCAAAAGGCCACTCTGGGCTATAACCAAAAGATCAAGGGAGAGTCAGTGACGACAGGGACATGCAGAAATTGGAGCCCTCACATGTGGTCAATGGAAGTGTGTGCACAATGGTGCAGCCAGGCTGCGCAGCCACTTGGCAGTTCCTTTAAAAGACAGACATGATCTTGCCAAATGACCCAGCAATTGTACTCCTAGGAGCCGACCCAAAAGGAAGGAAAACACTCTCGTGCAAACAAGTAAAAGAATGTTTATAGCTGCCCTATTCATAGTAGTAAGACCTGGAAACAATCCATCAACTGGTAGGTTCACAAGTGAAGTACAGCCTATTCACAAGGCAGAGTCACGTGACGGGAAAGAGAAACAGAGAGCATGCGCAAGCCATGATCTGTAGTAGCTCCAAGACTCTTCCCTAAGTGAAAGCTGACTGCTACAACACCTGGTCCATGCTAATTGGCAGAGGAGGAGGCAACTCAGCTATTGCCTAGGGCTAGGATGGAGACAAATGGCAACAGACACCGTCCACTGTGGTGACCGGAATGTCCCAACACGGGGTTTTGGTCATCATTACCATTAAAGCCCCTACAGTCCCTGAATTCTACACTTTTGGTAGGCAATCTCTGAATCCCTGAAGTTTACCCTTATTGTCAGCCAATTTTAAAGGCTATATACTGCAGTAAAGTGTATCTTATAAGACACAGTGCAAGCATGTGCAACAAGGCAACTCAGTTTACAGCTATCTACGATATATTCTGTAAGAGAAGCTTGATGGCTCCCAACACAGAGTGGCAGATTAACCCAGACTGGATCATAATGCATGCATACACTTCTCAAATCATCATACTGCACCTCCTAAATATGTAAAATTACATGTCAGTGTAAAAAGGTACAATGAACTAATAGGGGCAGACATCTAAACCCCCACTGTGGCACACGATCAAGTACATCCCTCCAGCCCTTGCCCATGTATGCACACATAGACAAATTCGTCAAACATCTTTAAGAATAAAATATCAGGAGGTGGGATTTGAATGGAGTAAGGAGGTCATGGAACAGGTCCTCTGGAAGGCTCTATCTTGTCTCTGGGGTCTTCCTATCGCTCTCGTTCTGCTTTCAGGCTGTCACGCTCATCAGCACACGATGCTACACTCTGGTCACTATCCCTTCTTCACCCTCACAGTTGCCTTCATGGCTGGCTAAAGCGGTAGAGCCAGATGATCTTGAATGGGTGAGCCAAAATAACCCACGCCTTAACTCAGGAAGGGAACAATATTATCATCAATCCAAACACAGAGCGGTTTTATCACCAATCCTGGTGTTGACATCATACACCATAGGCTCCAACACATGACAATAGGCTGCTCCACCTCCCCCAAACCATAACCATATATTAGGATAGAAAGACCAATGGAGGAAGCCAACCATAATCTTGCCCAGTCTATCTATGTTACATTATGGTAAGTGACAGGATCAGAAATCATTGATTAATGTTCCACAGAGCAATAGCCATCCACAGCCTAATTCCTTCCATGGCTTAAAAATCCTCCCACACCTAACACACCAGGCTCAGGTGATTTTAGCAATACATTCTACCAAACTTGCAAACCTCCCTGCAAGAAAAGGAAAGAGCATTCCCCAAAATTATGTGCAGTGTAACATTCCAGGAATTAAAAAGAAGAAGACAGCCAAGAACAGGGGGGAAATCTGGGTAAACTATTTGAA